CTTCCTGTACATATCTTATCAGGGAGCATTCCAAGAGAGTCATGAAACATAACTGAGGCCTAGAAGACAGGCAAACAGAAGACAGAGATTATAATTTACCAGTAGACCAAAGCATGCCTACTTGAGAAAAACCATATGGAAGATCATGTGGAAAAAGAAGGCCAAGTAAAAAGATGGAAAGCCAAAGAAAAGCAAGGCTGAAGGGGGTGTCCTGTTTGTACTATGAAAAGTATGTTGAGGAGGAGTTTTACCTCAAGCAGTAGCCTCCTCAAAGTTGATATTTGCCTCAGGATTGTACCAAAACACAAACTACTCAGTAATATGACTATCAAATATGTGAGGTGATGGTAATTGGGAGAAGGGCAAAGATGGAAAAAGTTAACCCTCTTCATATGCAACCTGCCAATGAAGAAACTGTTGGATTACTCATGTGCAAGGCATCTACAATGTTCAGTGCACACTTTCCTCATATTATTTATTGATTTCATTTATATCCTACTTTTTTTTGCCAAAGAATGGCTCTCCAGAAGGTTAACAGTAAAATCTGGATGAGAAACAAAATCTTAATTAAAATATTATTCTGTTGTGCACAGTTACATTATCATTTTGCAGAACATTTATATTTGAATTGTATGCTGTATTAGCCAAACATTATTTCAGACCAAAAGGCATGTTATGAGTGTTTAAACAGACAATCAGGCAAAGAGTTATCAGTGTAGCCAAATTCCAGCATGAGGGAAGGAAAACAGAACATCTATGCATGGAACTTTTCCACCTATCAGCCACTTCAACGTGTTTGAAGGTTTTTACAGTCTGCCACGAAATGAGACAATTTTAGGAAAGGTAGCAGTTGATGGAAGTGAGTTTTTCAATTTAAATGACAAATACTATCTGGGGCCTGCAGAACATGCTTCTCATAAACCAAGAACTGTTCTGCTTTTGTGTAAATTAAGCTGCTTCTTACATAACCAGAGATTGAGCCAGTATGTGTCCAGGGAAGGCAGCTTTCTGGGACTGGTGCCATCTAAACCTTTTATCTCATGCCTTGCTATACCAGGGGCAGGTGTGTCCCATTACTCTTGGCACTATTAAGTGAATGCAACACTAAAGAGAATAGCAGTGCTGTATTTCTGATAGAAAACAGCATCTTTTCAAAAAATCCAATTCTTTCATACACATGTACATTTTCTCGCAGTGGGAAGTTGGCTCAAAAGTCTAAAGTGGGTTACTTAGTTAGGGTTAGATCCAGCAAAAAGCTCCCATGGAAAGAACTGTCTCTGCTAGGCAGAAAGCATTTGATCCAGGAGAGGTTTTCCACTGGCTTCAGCAGGAAGCAGGGGTGGAAAAGAACCAAAGCTTAGACCCACAAGACAGAAGAAGTACACATTTGCATATACTAATTTACATATGCTGTAAAATATCTCTCTGTATCTAGAGGGCCCTATCTTTAAAAGAGAAGAGGGGTTTTTTATTTTGGGGGGACCCCTCAGCCAGAAGATTCAGGGGGGCAGCAAGAGGTAAAGTACATGGACAACAAGCCTACTAATCAGGGGGCATCAGAAACAGAGATAATCAGGATCCCTATATTTTTTATTCAGCAAGGATAGAAAGGTTGCTGGGAAGAGAGCCTCCCAGAGATTTATTGTTGTTACAGCCCTGCTCAGCTCAGCTCTTGTGAACTCAAGGCTGTGGCTTCTTTTATGGAACTAATCCATCTCAAAGTTGGTCTTCCTCTTTTTTGCTGCTTTTGACTTTCTCTAGCATTTTCTTCTCTGGTAAGTCTTTCTTGTGATGTGCCTGAAGTATGACAGCTTCAGTTTCATCATTATTTGGGTTCTAAATGAAGGATCCAGTCCTGAGGCCTCCTTCTGGCAGGAAGGAAGCAAATATCACCAATTTTTCCTATTCTTGCAACCTCCTATGCCCCCTCAAAGTTTGCCTTGGAGGGCTGGACAATCTTCCAAAATAATGGAGGAGGTGGTGGCAATGAGAGTGAGAGAACTCAGTGAAAACTGCCTCCCCTCTTTCTAACTGGAATCCACTGAATAAAAGTTCTGGATCCAACCAAAGTATGGAAAGTGAATGTTGCAGTCTTTAGGATGTGAGTGGTTGATCCCTGTAAATGGGAAGCAAGGGAGACCTGCAAGGGGTAGGTCTGGAAGTGGTAAGAATCTGGGAGAAACTGAAACTGCTGTTGCTGCCCAGAGGACAATGGAAGAAAGTTACTTGTTTTGGTAAGGATATTTTAAAAAGACATTTGAATTGGACCTAATAAAGGTATTTCCCTGCTGTACATTTTGGGTTTTTCTGTACCAAGAGTTCTCAGTTTCTTCCTCTTTCCTAGATAAGGGGGTGGGTAAAAAAATTGAAGCGAAGCAAGCAATCACAAGCACTACCAGCTCAAAGCAAACAGGATCTATAGGAAGTAAAGCTGCTGTGTTCCTTCCCTTTGGGCCTCTGTTTAGAGCAGCAAAACAAGCTCCTCATCTCAACCTGTCCCAGCTTAACAGGACTCATTCTGTTGGCTGGAAGGGAGCCCCCCCCCTCCAGGCTTTCAGCTGAGTGAACTGCACTGGTAGCTTCTAGTATCTATGCCAGCCAGAGCAGCATTAATTTTTCTGGAGCTGGGCTGCAAGATTGGATGTAGAGCTGGACAAGTGACCAGGAATGAGGAGAAATGGGAAGGACCTCAGGTAAAAGAATTAGTATCTTTTCAGCTCAGTCTCCGTATTTGTAGGGTACTGATTCCATGGCTGTGCTGGGATATCACAGTCAGCTGGGATATCTGATAGCACAGATATCAACTAGGGGTCAAAGACATACACTGCTAGACCTTTCTTTGCAGAATAAAGTGACAAACTGACTTCACAGAACCTTGAAGTACATGTGACAAAGAGTTCCATAAGAACCTCAGTAAGAAACTAAACTGAAGATATCTCTGCAAAATGTTTCTGTAGTATCATATATCACTATGACCTATGCATACCATTGTGACCCTTCAAGATGCAACAGTATTCACTCTGATCAAAAGTTTTGTTTTCGTGAAATGTGCTTTAACAAATCATGTTCTCAAGCCACCATTGTGAATAAGGAACTGTGGATTTTATACTCGCAAAAAAACTTTGGGCCACCGCAGATGATACACCCAGGAGACTGCCCCCTTTAAGACATGCTAGCATTCTACCTGGGCCAATGCTTTGTTTTGTTCATGCCACTCTTAAACAAACTGCCCCCTTTGCCCATGTTTGTTTTGATTATGTGCCATCAAGTCATCCCTGACTTATGGCAACCCTATGAATGACAGCCCTTGAATTTTGTAAATTCAAGGCTGCAGTTTCCTTTATGGAATCAATCCATCTCATATTTGGTCTTTTTTAAAGTGCAAACTTATACAAGTCTGCTCAGATGTAAGTCCATTTAGATTAATGGGAGATTACTCCCAATAGAATTGCAGTGTTAAAGACTTCTGACCATTACAGGCAGTCAGCGAATTAAAATGTCTTCTTTTAAAAAGAGAATCACCAAGCAAAACTAACCAGACTATTCCTGGGTAAAATCAAGAAAGCCCTGTTTTAGGCTTGTTGCAGAAGGAACATAGATTCAGGATATGAAGAGATTTTTGGTATCTGTTTTTTGAAAAAGCACTTTCAGGTTTACTCCTTTAAGGCAAAAGAAATGGCCATTAAGCAACCTTCGCTCACTGCCAGCTTAGAAAATTGATATATTATTATGATGTGATCGTTATGCCCCCAGACTGCCAGTTCTAGGGGAAACAAAAGTGAAATCACAACCTGCAGGAATGTTAGGTTTCTAATGCAGAATGGAGAGGAATTAATTAAACCAACGGTAACAAGCAAAACCAAAGCATTTCAAGCTACCGTTTTTCTGCCCCATTCGCCACTTTCTTTTTTACTCCAAAAACTGATGCAACTATTTGTTCAATGCATTCAGACTCCATGAATCAGCGCTTCAGCGTTAGAGGAACTGATCTGTAACTTCCTTACTCTTTATAAAAAAAAAATTGATGGCGAACGTCTTCCCGCCCACTTTTCTTGCTGCACGCCCAAATGCTTTACCCTCCTGGCTGCTTGCTTGGCATTGCTGTCGCCTTGAAAAAGGAGACTTTTGCTGCCGTTAACCTCGTGATAATGCCGCATCAATTCAATCTTGAATGCGGCACAATTACGTATTCTTTGCTGCCTCTCGGAAAGATCGCCGACATACAGCACTGAATGGAGAAGTGGAAGCTATTCGTATGGTCTCCGCGCTCAGTTCGATTTTCTAAAGGCGCTTCGTGTTCACATCACAGAAGTCTGTTCAAACGTGGTTCACTTTCATTCCCCTCCCCCCATGTCTGATTTGTCTTCTCCACTCCCCCACCCGCTAGTAGGTCTTGCAATCTGGCTAGTGAATGAAAGCACCCATGCTCCACGTGCCAGGGGAGAGAAGGCGAACCGAACGCTGCAAGAAAAGAAAATGGAGTCTACTGTGCAATACAAACAAGGGAGAAGAGTGCGAGCGAGTGGGAGATACCAAAGTAGCGGCGAAGCACAGTGTATGTGTGGAGGAGACTGCTGGAAGATGAAAGAACAGCTAGAGGTTACGCTCAGCCATGGGGGCGGGGGACGAGGGCTGAGCCAAGCTGCCTCTCCTCACCGGACGTGCAGAATAAGGGAACAATTACCTTGCTCCCTCTCCGCCTGGTCCCCCTGCCAACCCCCCTCCCCTCCACGTCCCCCTCTCTGTTCTCTGTCTGGATCACTGGGATACGCGCAAGCCGAGCCGCACGGATAACCAGAGCAACAGCCAATGGTCTTTCCGCGCCGTTTCTTCCCTTTGGACCAATCACGGAGCGCCGTGCCCGTAACCTTGTGGGTGGTTCAGTCTGTGGCCAATCAGTAGAGGAGAGGGAGCGAAGGGGGGGCTGGTGTGAGGGGGCTGGTGAGCGTGAGGCGAACGCGTGCACAGGAGCCCCGGAGAGGCTATAAGAACCTCGAGGCTGACGCGCGCAGCAGACATTCTGCGGAGACTCAGGCAGGTGGCGTGGTAGCAGCAGCAGCAGCAGCGAATTCCGTGCGTGTCGCTGCCGTTGTTTCTCTTGCCTCCCGCGCGCTCGCCTGCACGCCTTTCTCGCCATGAAGACCAAATTCTGTAACGGTGGTGAGACCGACCCTTCCCCGCTGGGACTCTTACTAGGATGTGCCCAGGGCCCGGTCTTGCCCGCGCTCACCCAGTCGCCCTCGTCTCCGCCATCGCCACCTTCTTCTAACGCCGAGGCCGAAGCGAAGGAGCTGGGGCTCCGGGGACAGCAGCAGCACCAGCCTCTCGCGCTGCCGCCCACCCCGCCGACCCCTCCTTCCCCGCCGGTTGAGGAGCAGCCCGATCCCCGCACACGCCGCAAGGCGTATCTGTGGTGCAAGGAGTTCCTGCGGGGGGCGTGGCGGGGGCTGCGGGAAGATCAGCTGCGCCTCACGCCCATCAGGTCAGCACCTTTCTAGGGCGCGGTGGGGGGAGATGTTGGCAATGTTAAGTCAACGCACGGAGCCGTCTGAGATGGGGAAGAAATAACTAGCGTTTTTCGAAGCATGTGCAGAGTGCACGGTTTTCCGAGTAACAGCTGTTGGCCCATCTGGGATTCTAGGGAGGCTTGAACCATGACGGTGTATGCTTGCCTATTGAGAGGCGAAGTGAGAGGAAAAGGGGTGGGGCGGCTAGCTTGGTCGTACCTGGCACCTTTTGTCCCTCATAATCTCGGTGAAAACGAGATAATATGGAGGAGGAACCTTTGTAGCTCCTCGTAGAAGGTCTCCACTCAGCGGATTTTACTCGCCATTTTGCTGAGATGGTAGCATCCACGAAGGATGTTTCGTTAGCCACCTGCTTTCTCTGGGATGTTTCTGGAGATTTTTTGCAGGTTGCAAAAATGCCTGCTTGCTTTCTTTTGGAGTCATTTGAAAAAATTAAGAGAAGTTAATCACAGATTTCGTTTCTTGCCATCACATCTTACCATTATTTGCATTAGCTATGACCTAGAACACTAAAAGCGGTTTGCGCATTTAAATGTACAGTCATATTGAATTACAATTGTTTTCCAACCTTTTGTCGTCTTATTCTCAACACTCACAGTATGCGTGTGGGGTACCTTGGAGATGAAATGGTGGCCATTATTGTTTAGACATCACATCAACCCATAGCACAAATCATAATTGACAGGCCCTCTTCAAATATAGATTCTGTTTCTGATTTGCTGGATGATTTAAATCCAGATTTTACACCAACCCATAGTAGGTTTCCTTAACCATTGTTACTTAAGCCAAGGCTGCTTAAGGCTCTCCAGAGCCTTTGGCACTAATGATTAAGATTGCCATTTTTTTCCAAATAGAAAGTAATGTAGAAGGGAAAGAGTAGAAAATGATGGACTGATGACTTTTGTGAGTATATATGTTTCCTTTATCCCACTGCAGTATCTAGTCAGGTTTTTGAAACAATCCCAAACTTTTTGTATCTAGATGCGGATTATTTGAAAAATATACACTTCATCTAAAAGATACACTAAAACACTAATAAGTCTGTTACCATCTAAAGGTCATTTTGCATGATGAAAAGTAACTTTAGTATCAAAAGCAATATGATTCTTATCACTTAAGATGTGTGAGAAATTCACATATGTGGTAAACTGGATGTGTGAGTACTTAACCATCTGCATTGAGGTGTGTGTCAAACTTGTTGAGTATATGATATCTCTAGAAATTCTGTGTGATCTGGGATGAGCTTCTAATGATCCCAAAGGTGCTTGTTTATGACTTCTGAAATGCACTGCTGAGTTGAGTTTTTTTCCTTTTCTGGTCATTTAACAGATGTTGCAGGAATGTGCTATTCAAAGTGTTTTATATATGACTGCAAAGTTTAGCATAATTTTTCTAAGTTTGTTTTCTGCATGATGAAAACTTGGTATATAATCTTTGTCCTGAGGATTTGGGGGGGGGCGGGATTCTTTCTTTCTTTCTTTCTTTCTTTCTTTCTTTCTTTCTTTCTTTCTTTCTAATGAGACTGGTTAGTGGTATGAGTCATTCTTGGCAACTGTGTTCTTCTAGTATCAGGTGCCTTGCTCTGACTCATACCAGCAATGAGTGGATAACTGGTGTGCATATAATGTGGATAACTAATTTAGAGTGGAAAGTTTTGAGTTTTTTTCCTGCTCTAGCCTGGTCAACTACTAATAGATTTTTGCACTTTTTGCAGAATTGTCACTTAAGTTAAAAAAAAAAACAACCTTTGTTTAAAATCACATTTTTTTAGAATGTCTAGCCAGTTAATATTCATACCAGGTGTATGACAGGGTAATTTAATGCCTTGCTCTAATCTTTTTTTTATAGCAACTCATTTCATCTTTAATTGTAAGAGTAGTTAAATTGAACTCTAAAAGTTGTGCCTTAGAAATCCTGATTCATTCCTCAGAACATACAGTTAAGCAAGACTAAATTGTCAAGCTTGTCTATTTTTCAAGGCATTTGTCAGAACTACACTGATTTAACATAGATGTAATTAAGACATTTTCGCAGGCTAATTCTAAGTTGTTTTGTTAATGTTGATAACAGTGCAACTTACATTACAGAGTAAACACTATATTAAATGGCTGTTTATAACAGTCATATTTTTCTTCATATAACTTTTCCATCACAGTGGATGCTGTTAAATGTTCTTTCTCAGCAGCATTGAATCTGTTTTAAAAAGAACTCTTTGCATCCATGGAATTCTAAACCAGAAATTAATTTCATTGTGTTTTAGGACTATTCAAAAGAGATGATTAAAATTGCTTTTTCATATAGTAATGCTACCTAAATAACATTTTTAGTTAACTTGCACTTTATGAGGTGAGTTACTAGTGACTTGTGTATCCTAACATAATGAATGAAAGTAGGGAAGCTGATGACATATATTGAACTTCTATGATAGCCTGTACATTAGCAGCAACTAATTGTGATCTCAGAGATGGTCTGGCAGTGAAGTGGGTATTATATATTTCATCAGATTGGATATTGTAGTCTGACATAGGGTTATTGAACTGGGACTCAGGCAGCCTGGGTTCTAGTCTTGCTTAGCCATGAAGTGCATGGGATAACCTTGGGCCAGTCACTAACTTGCAGCTGAAACCTGCAAGGTGGTGGTTGTAACTATGTTGTAAGAAGCAGTGGAGGAGGTCTATGGAAGCCACCTTGGGTTCTTCAGAAGAGATAAAAGGGTGGGATATAAATATATTGTTCCTACAACAGTTGATAGTATTCCATTGCATTGATCTTGCTGTGATGCAGGTTACTGAATTGTGTTGTATTAAAGGTGGCGATGCTAAAACAGGTACTGAACCTCCTTCAAGGCCAGAGCTGAATTCCATTTTGGAGAATCTCTCAAGGGCTACCTCCAGTGGGGAGAGGCTGAAGGCAACAAGGGAGGGAAAAGAAGATTGCCAGGATATTTTAGCTTTAAGTTCTTAACTGTCAAAAATTAAGCCTCAGGAGGAGGACTCCAATCCCTTTGAATGGGGGTGGTGGTGCCAAAACCTGGAAAACTCAGGAGGGCTGGATTTGATAACCAGGCCTGAGGTTCTGCATCCTTATCATAAAGAATCACCAGTGGGAGATCTATAATTTTCAGTCCATAGACATGGCAAACATACATAGGAGAGCTAGTGTGGTGTAGTGGTTAAGAGCATGGGACTGGGACTCAGGCGATTCGGGTTTGAGTCCCCACTCAGCCATGGAGCCAACTGGGTGACTTTGGGCCAGTCACAGGCTCTCAGCCCAACCTACCTCACAGGGTGGTGGTTGTGCGGATAAGATGGAGGAGGAGAATGATGTAAGCTGCCTTGAGCCCTTTGTAGGAAAAAGGTAGGATATAAATGGGGGGGGGGAGCTGATTTTATTTTCCAGTTATTTGTTGCATGGAGTTTTATTCTGAAGTGAAGAAAAGCTTCACTTCTTTGAGAATGAGCATGAAGTTACAGTTTTCAAAAATTTTTAAGATCCAAATAGGATTAAATACATACATCGATTTCTTCCATTATACCTTTTGATTTGAAAAGAATTAAAAATTGTTTTTCTTCTACTGTGGGAATCAGTTTGAACCCAGCTTGAAATAGGTTGTTTATAGGTGTGCTTTTTTCTCCCTTGTGAATTTAGTAGATGTTGGATAGGAAAACATACCCCTGGAACCTTGTGGGAAAAGAGTTGATGTAAATTGGTGGTGGAAGGGAGAAGCGCACATCCTGCTTCTCCAAGGCAAATCATCGCCTGACTGCTTTTCCCCACCAAACGCAGGAATCAGTTTTGTATGCAACATGTAGTTTCAACCTTAGAGCCTTGATAGTAATTAATGAGGCTTGCTGCAGTGTCTTTGTATTTTGTTGTATAGCTGAGAATACTCACCCTTACTGGCCTCAGGCTCTCAATGATAGGGGGTTGCAAATTACGGGCTTTTTTTATAACTAGAGTAGCTCCTGAACTTCAGAATGATCATTCCTGTAACTCTCATAAAAGAAAGTTATAAATAGCATAAGATTGATAGTGAGGGAATAATTCAGTCAGCTTTCATCAAGTTGAAAGAACTGTGCTTCTGATTAAAATCTTTCTAAAAAAGTCTGACCATTCCAGATTCATGGGGAAGTTGACAATTCTCAAAAATGAAATGGGTGGTTAAAAAAACACATAAGAGCTAGATGATGTCACTCAGCGCCATTAGATAGTTTACACTACAGGTGCTGTCTGGAGCATTGCCATAATTCAGCCACAATATAGGACACTATCCAAGGCAGCCTTCCTCAGTGTGATGCCCTCCAGGTGTGTTGGACTCCAACTCCTAGCATGGCCCTGTTGGCTGTCTGGGAGATTCGCGTGGTGGGAAGTGATAATACAGTGAATTGTCAGGGCACACCAGTAGTGCATTTTTTTCTTCTTTCTTTCTTTTTTGTGAAAGGTGGAGAAAAATAAAGGGAGGAGAGAGGAGGAGGAACCACTAGAAAGCCCCATGCAGAATAATTAAAATTGGTTCCATGCTGCAGAGAGAAATCCTGGTGGATGTTCTGTCTTTTTTTTTTTTCCCTCACTGTGTGGGAACATAAACCCCCAGCTTGAGATAGAGGTCCGGCCTGATCAGCATGTCTCCTTGTCCAGTTGCAAAGTATTATCATTTGAATTATAGGGATATGTGATACCTTTACACCAAAGACACATCCTAAAGGGAAGATCTGTGGATTGTGTACTACATGAGAAAATGTATACTTACACCTCCCTCTCCCCCAGAATATGATGATGCAGGAAGGCTTGAGTGATATCTTCGGTGATGGTTCAGAGCACATGAACCCTTTAGTTACTTAATAGCTGGCTTACTGGTAGATGGCAGATTCTTTGTGTAACTTGATGCTCTGGACGTGTACCAAGTATAGCCCCTTGTTCTTTAATTATTTATTAAACCTAACTCTTCTGCCTCCAGTGGAAGGAATTCAAGCTAGCCAAAGCTGTCTGTATGGAATGTATTCAGTTAGCTTCATATCTATACCGAATATAGTTGTTGAGGGATGGTCTTGCTTGTCTGCTATATAAATTGTGTGGAGGGAGAGTACAACAAAACCTGTTTCTACGTGTTCTGCTTTATTACTTTAGGAGCCGCACACACAACTGTTGAGCTTTGCATTCTGTTTTTGCTTTATACAAGTTGAGCAGAAAGCATACACTTCACAGATACTTTCTGTGGCTGGAAAGCCGCCCCCCCCCCCCACCAGTTTGAGACCTGCTAAATGAAAGCAGCAACATCATCTCTTGTTCAGGAAGTTAAACGGACAATGAATTACATGGGAGTAAATTTGTTCATGCAGTTCATGAGAACTACAGGCAGGACTTTTCCTTTTGTTGGCTTAGCGAAAACAAGGCATCCTTAGAGGAAATTGGTTTATTTAAGGGTTTGGGGTTAGAGTGCTTTCACTTTCCCAGAAAGGGGAAAGCGTTGCCTCCACAATAAGAGTCTTATTTTAATACAGCGGCATTGCTGAAATGGTGTGAGACCTTTGCATTGTGAAAGGGGTATAGCAGTAATTTTGTTTCCCTTCAAATGTGGTTGGATTACAGCTACATGCAGAACTGTCATCTGACAGTGAGTTCTTTAAGTTCTAGAAAGGAAAGGAAAATGGCCGCTATGCTGCAGGCAATCCTTGTAATGGACAATAAGGTGTGTGGCTGTTTGCAACTCTTACCCACATAAGAGATGGAAAATTCAAGGAAATGCTCCTTTAGCCTAAAGTTGTATTGCGAAAGTTATCACCTGGCGCTTTCATGCTGTAAGTAACTGCTTTGTTAAAATGTTGGTTGGACGGAACTAGTTCCTAAACCTATAATTTGGAATTAGGTTTTAATATAGATAATAAGGGTTGTATAGAAATACATCATTCTGCCAGCAAGAGGCAACTGCTGCTGGGATGGGTTTCTTCTCCAGCCCCCTGCACACCACCCAGATCTGTTCTGGAACATTGAGGGGCCCTT